TGAGCTCTGAAGTTTTCTTTTACAGAAACGAGGCTGAACATGTTTGTTGTGTTTTATTACAAAGTCACTAAACTCCGCCTCACTGGTTCCAGTAGCAGAGTTGAGTTGAACTAATCCATGTGGAAACACTGACTTTTATGCTGTAAAATTACGTTTGAATGTTTTAGTGATCTCAGTCACAGATCAATGCTGGCTTATTTATTAGGCTAATTTGAATCGACTCGAGTTGAACCAAAGTGCAACTCAATTAAATTAAGTGAAATGATGTTCTGTATAATTAGGGAAACAAAAAAGCAACACAAATGCATTTGTTTCTTTATAAATATCTAAAAATGTGCAGAAGGAATGTTGGAATAATAACTAAAGTCTGTTTAACAGCTTTAATCATCAGCTGGGACAAAATCTGATTGTGTTTTTTTTAGGGCCGGGACTTTAACACGTTAATTACGATGAATTTATTAGAAAAAAATAACGCGTAAAAAAAATTTACGCATTTAATCGCAGCTTGCATTTCAAGCACGGTGGAACCTTTGTCATTGCACGACCTCCTCGTAGACTGAATATCACTGACGCACACAACAATGCACAGTGCTAATGGCTACTAAAACGTAATAAAAACAGAAAGAAGTTGTCTTGCTTGGACTGATGCAGGATTTAGGAAACACTCTTTTCTTAACTTGAAAAAAAACTTCCAGACAACAACGGAGTCCGTGTCGCGGACATTTTTCAGAGATCGTCTCTGCTGCGGCTGCCCGGTGGCACCGGAAACTTTACAAAAGTAGCGGTAAGCTATATTTTTAACATTTACGTAACGTCTGTGCAGCGCTGAAAGCACCAGACAGAATAATTCTGTGCCCTAACAGTAGTTTATGAAAGTAGTCAGACAAACGAGAGGCACCTGGCTGCTGCTGGGAGAACGCTCCGTGTTCTCACTACTCTGTAAACAGTCACAGACAACGTGTCTTAAATTTGAAAACAGAAGTTTAAGTTAAAACAGAAACACTCTGAAACTTTTCTGATGATTTTCTAAACAATTCTGTCGGGGAATTATGTGTTTCTGAGACGAGTCTCTGTCTAAACATCACATGCATTACTACCATTAAGCAGCGAGGTGTGTTGAAGCTGCCATCAGCTAAGGGGCGGATGCTTAAGTGTATCAGGGGCAGCGAGGAACGAGGAAGTTGTGATCAGGCTGGAGATCACACCAGATTCACTGCAGCAGGCGTGAATCTGCGGGTCTGCAGCATCCCCTTCTTAACGTGACATCAGGACTTCCCGTGTAAGGAAGGTCCGCTCACCTGTTCGTCAGATCATTATTTCCTCGCCATGATCTTTTATCATCCCATCAACCTCCAGTCATCCAACTGGAACCAGTTAGTGTTCCTGATCATTCTCAGAATATGCCACGCCTGCTCTGGTGTTAAAAGTTAGTACAATTAAGTCCTAGATCATATTTGTGCCTGTTCTACTGTCATTTTGAAGGATTATTATTTATGTGTTTTTACTACATTATGAGTAGAAATGCTAATAAAAACTCCCAATTATACAAACAAGTGAAACTGGAAAAATTAGAATCTGGTGCAAAGTCAAATTTATTTCAGCAATTCAACTAGACAGAGAGACTATTTAAAGGCTCAGGAACCCTTTGCAGGTGTTTTCTATTTGTAATTATAAATTTTTGTTGATTTGGGTTTTGTTTCATATCACACAGTAACATTTGAATAATTAAAATGCATTTTTTATTAAAAGCTTTAGTTTACAGTAATAACCATGTCTAATGTTTGATTCTCTGTCTCATAATTTTAATTAAAAGTTTTACTTTGAGAGCACATTTTCCTGAACGATTAAAATGCGATTAATTGAGATTAATTATTTACAAATCCTGTAATAAATTAGATAAAAAATTTTAATCAAGTCCCAGCCCTAGTTTAAATATAAAATGTCCCCAAAAAAAATTCCTGGGGGGCATGCCCCCGACCCCCCTTAGAGTACTTTAATACTTATCATCATTTTTACCTCAGAGAAATCTCAACACCCACACTTTTAAACACTGTGTATGTGAACGGGTCATTCCAAATGTTTCAGAAACAAGAATGCTGACCTTAAAACCAATCAAAACCCGAATAGAGGCTGCGTGTAAACAATGTGAGCCCCCCCCCCCCCCCCCCCCCCCCCCAATAATTTTCAGTCAGATGAGGATTTTTTGCTTCAATCCCTGGAATACACATAACTGTTGCATCATTTTTCCTGGTGTGCTTTATTATTCCTTTAATTGAGTTTGTTTAGAAGTAAGAAGTTCAGATTTAATTCAGATTAATAGTCTGTGAAATAAATTCCCAGCAACGATCAGCCGAGCAGTCTTGATCAGCCTGTTCTGACATGTTGAAAGAATTTATTAAGGTTGATTTGACCCCAAAATCTTTAAATGTTTAGAATTTGGTAAAATATTAATAAAATACAGGTTTTTTTTAATCTTCAAACCAAACTGAGGAAATTATTGCTTGATATTAGACAAAAGTCCTAACATCTTAAAGAAACATTATAATCCCTCAGATGTCTTTTTCTATTGTTCTTGTGTGTTAAAATGATTTTTAAAAGTAATTATTTTATTTATTTTCTTTCCACTTTAGTCATGGACTGGTGAAATTCAGTTGTTGAATCCCCAAAACACCTTTTTAATATTCAAACATGACATGAGAAGAATGTTGACCACACGTTCTGAGCAGAACTAGATAGAAGAAGGGACGTTTACTGAGAAAATGTTCTCTAGAAATCGCTTCAATGGCCAACATGGAGCAGGAGTGTCCCCCAAAGGAGGGGAAAAGTCAAAAATGCATCCACCCAAGAAGAGGGCTCCAAATCCCAGAGTAGCACTGGTCATACGTGGTAAAATCCATCGGCTTTTGCAAGGGTCTACAGACCACCGTGTCCCCGATTCTCACCTCTGTTATGAACAAGAAGATGAGGCAGAGATGCCTGATGGTAGGAAAGAGCTCAGGAGTGTACATCCAAAGGTCACCCCAAGGCCAGAAGCCCTCACTCCAACAGTTTCAATCACTAAAAGACACGGAGCAACATCAGGACCTCCGTGTGTTGGAGAAGTGGAGCTGAACAGACAGGGGTGTATAAGGATACCCTGCACTTTACAGCGAAAAGGCAGCAGACCCCCAAGTCAAAAACGAATATCATTTGAGAGCGGACTTCCAGAATCTCCCGAATCGATACGACCGCTCCCAGACTACATGACGGTTGACTCGGACATGAACGGGGTGAAATTTGCATCGGGATCTCAAGAGTTTGCTTCACCTCGCGTTCGACCCAAAAGGCCATATTCCACTGGTGATTGTGTGGACTACAACTTCAACAGAGCCCTACCAAATACTCTTCTGGAGGAGGATGAGGATAAAGATGAGGCCTCAAGTGCCATTATTGACCACATTCTGAAAGAGCTGAGGGGCATCAATAAGATCCAGGAGGAAATTTCTGACCTCAGGGATTACCTGACGTCAGTGCGAGGCTCAGTTGAGGAGGTATCCTCCTGTGTAGACGCTGTATTGTTAGAGATTGAAGGTATTCGTTCTAGCAACAAAGGAGCCTCGGGGACATGGTCAGGAATGGGGTGCAAGGATGGACCTTCTGGGCGAAGAAGACCAGTCAGTGCTTATGGAAGTTTAGGGAGTCCAGTACCAAAGACAGATTCTAACTGCTTCCCCCCTTCATGCAATGAGCATCATAGCATGCATGGAGAACTACTACTTACAAGGCCAGGAAAGTCTACCGTGCCCCACATTCTTGCATCAACCAATCATCAGGAACTGGAGGAACCTGATGATGCCTCTGACCATAGTTCAGATATACCAGAAGGTGCAACAGCAAGAAATTTGAGTTTGGCATTCCTTGAACCCCATGATGTCCAAGACTGTCCAAGTACCAGTTCTTTGTCTTCTGGCCATAGCTCCAAGTCTGACTCTGATCTAGAGAGGTTACTATCTAGTAATGCCAGAAAGGAGCTAATAGTTGGAAATGGAGAACATTGGGCTAACACCGTGCCATCACAGAGTAGTGCTAAGAATTCAATCTGGCATAGAGAAGCTGATTACCTCAGGGATGGAGATCTAGAAGGCAATGAAAGTGAGAGTGGTCTTTGTTGTGAAGGAGCTGGAAGCTGGGATCACTACAGAGGACCAGAGGGGTATAATTCATCAATACCATGTTCCACAGGAAGCTCAGAGCAACTACCCTTTAGGTCCAGAAAGCATTACAATTCAACTTCCAGTTTTTCTAGCAGGGAAGAACGGCAGTCACGGAAGAGAAGACCTCAAAGCCTGTCAAGAATTCATGGTCCAACCAGCACCAGCCTTGGAAACTCCGCTGTGGGATACGATTGTTCAGCTGATTTGTCCTGTCCTCAAAGTTCAGGGTACCATTCAGTCGAGGGCCGCGATGGTGCAAGAGGGGATTTTGAGTTTGAGCAAATGAGTGAGGTGAGCTTCACCACAAACTGTGATGTTCATCTAGCTTATGAAGAGTCTTCAGAAATGACATGGACAGAGGCATCTTTAAGCACCTCTGGGTATGATGATGCACAGCCTTTCACACAAAAGACGGACTCCAGTAACCAACTCCCATTCCCTGAGGGGGCAGATGCCCAAGCTGAAGGTTCTACTGTCAAACGCATCGGACGAGCTGTACTTGATTTTAGCTCTGCTTTGAGGGGTGCATTATGTAAACTCGATGTACCTGCAGCAGTAAACCCTGAGGAGCAAACTGACTTTGAATTCTCAATGCCTTCTGACCTGCCTATAACTGAGCTGCCTTCAAAGTCTTTCAGCTATGAGGCAGACATTGAACAGATTCTTCACACCCACAGAGGTGATGTGCTTGAATGTAGTCATGCTTCTAAGAAACTGACCAAACACAGTACTATTGAAAAATTAAGTAATTTCTCTGGGGAGCCAGTGCTAGAAGAAACCATCAACAGCCTTAAACAGTTTTCAGAGGCTTCCCCAAGCTCTCTATGTTTGGAAGAGACAGCCCCAGTCCCCGAAGAGCCTAAGGCATGGCCTGACTCTTCAATACCTGGCAACCTTGTAGAGAAACCTGTGAAACACTCATCTAAAGAACTTCCAAAAGGTCCTGCAAGTGTGCCTCTTAACACTCAGCAATCACAATGCACCTCAGTACAATCTTCCTTCTCAATCTCAGTTGGTGATTCTGCCGCCCTGGAAGGGCTTGAACAAGTTGAGGTGCCAAAACAATCCACCATGGATGTTATTGTGGGCTCCATGGTGAAATCAGAGGGAGGTGATGCAGAGCAATCACCAGACATCAACCAGGCAGATGAATGCAAGCTGAAGTGTCTGAGGAGCTTTCAGGAGATTCTCCGGGAGAAGAGGGAGACCAGGCGCAGCCTTGGCAGCATGACTATGTCCTCCTTGTCTCAGGAGGACTTGGAACCAGGTAGCCATGGCATGACTTAAGTTTTTCATCTTTGTAGCTTTTAAAACATGATCTTCGGTACGTCTGTGAACACTAACTGATTATTGATCCAACATTTTCATGATAGCAAGTCTTTGATCCGTCACATTTCTGATCTTATGTCACCAAGACTGATGAAAGACTAGCTCCGCCTTCTTATCAACTGTTCCCTTGAGTATTTATTGTACCAAATGGCCTCAGCCAGAGTTATAATTTTGTCCCTGCTTGTAAGTGATGCATCAGCCGCCACTCAAGGCCGCCCTCACCCCTCTCCAAGGCATCAGCAGTTTCCATTTGCTGAATTAAAAGACATTAATTATCTCCTCGAAAAGAAAGCATGACATTAAGGACCGAGACTAGAGGAAATACGCTGAGTCATTTTTGTGATAAATTATACATGTTAATGAACCATTATGACCCCAGACCCAATCTCAGTGATGGTGCTGCGTTAAAGCCGGATGCATACGGCTGCTTGTGTCACAACCATGAGTCCAACCAGTGGCTGATCTCCCTCTCTGTGTACTTTTCTCTGTCATGCTTTTTTACAGATGGAAGTCCAGATGGAGATCAGGTTACCCCTTTAGTGGCTACTAACATCTATTAAATCATTTTTAATTTTTTCTTTGATCCTTTTATTCTATCACTGTTTATTTTCTTTGTGGGTTAATTACATTTTCTGATGTTTCAAGTTAAATCTGACTAGTGTGAAAGTTTCAGTTCAAAGGCAAATGAAAGAGTTTAATATGAGTGAAACAACATGGATGGAGTGGTTTTTGCCTTGTAAACATCTATTTATTGTCTTAGTGAAGCAGATTCACTTTACAAATCAAAGGGAACAGAAACTGAAAGAGGTCTTTCTTGGCAAAAAAAAACTGAAACTCAACCAACCTTCGTCAGTTCCAGTGATTCTGTTATTTGCATTTCTTTTCTTCATTGTCCCATACCCGTACCTGTGCCTGTACCTGTGCCTGCACCTGTACCTGTACCTGTACTTGTACCTGCTCCTGTATCTGTGCCTGTGCCTGTGCCTGTACCTGTACCTGTTCCAGTACCTGTGCCTGTACCTGCAACTGTACCTGTACCTGTACTTGTACCTGCTCCTGTATCTGTGCCTGTGCCTGTGCCTGTACCTGTACCTGTTCCAGTACCTGTGCCTGTACCTGCAACTGTACATGTACCTGTACCCGTACCTGTGCCTGTACCTGTACCTGTACCTGTACCTGCTCCTGTATCTGTGCCTGTGCCTGTGCCTGTACCTGTACCTGTACCTGCTCCTGTATCTGTGCCTGTGCCTGTGCCTGTACCTGTACCTGTACCTGCTCCAGTACCTGTGCCTGTACCTGCAACTGTACATGTACCTGTACCCGTACCTGTGCCTGTGCCTGTACCTGTACCTGTACCTGCTCCAGTACCTGTGCCTGTACCTGCAACTGTACATGTACCTGTACCCGTACCTGTGCCTGTACCTTTGCATGCTCCACCCTTATTAAACAGACCTCAGTCATCAAATCGCTAACCACACAACCTGTGACCTTCCATTCCAGAACCGAGATCAAGATGCTGATCCCAGTAAGACCCCATGGGCCAAGCCAGGGTCAGTGTGTGTGTGTGTGTGTGTGTGTGTGTGTGTGTGTGGCTGGCTGAGAAAGGACTGTATTTATTTTTAGTTTTGGTATTCATTTGTTCGTCCAGGTCTTTCAGAGGAAGCACTCCTTTTGGGATTGACAGCATGCCCGACCTTCGGAAGAGGAGACCCATTCCTCTTGTTAGTGAACTGGTGAGGAATCACATTAGATCTGCATCTTCATCTGGATCAATTCATTTTCATCCTCGTTCCTTTTCTGACTCCTTGCCCGTAATGATTCTGCTCTAGCTCATCACGCAGTATTCCTCTGAATTGATTATAACCTTATTTATTGGTGGGGCCTAGTTCAGCCTCAGATAGGCACGCTGTCACCTGCTGCTATGCACCATCTCTGGTAGTTTTCACATGTCAGCACAGCAGCTGATTAATGAACTAACTGGCTTAAACACATCCATTCCACACTCATACATCCTAATAAAGCCTTTCCTATTATTAAAACATTCATTCCTGAGAAGGGTTCCCGGGAGCTGGTGTCTGTCTTCAGAGACACCCTGGGACACCTTGGACAGGTCACCAATCCATCACTAACTAGACATGCAGCCAGTCAAACCTAGGGACATCTTAGAAGTTAAATGTTTTTACACATTAATGATTTTGTGTGATTTGTGTTTTAATGAACCACCTAAAGCGTATCCTTCATGGGTCTGGTAATGGTCCGCTCTCCTTCACCTGCTAGAAAAGATCCAGGGATGCACTAAACAGCGCTCCCACAGCGGCGTGTGTTTCAGGGTCAGAGCTTCTGTTTCTGAGGCCATCCTGTTTGTCTCTAATGAATTGTTCTTACCTGTTTTTGTCTTCCTGCATGTCTCCTCCCTGCGTTTGTCGGTGCTCAGGCTATGGTGAGTAAAGCTCCAGTCAGACCTTGTGGTCCTAGAGGGAGTCATGCGGGTTGAACGTGTGCAAACACAAACAGATCATAAACGTCAGTCTGAGTCATTTAGCTGAAAGTGTTTATTTTACCTCTGAGTTTTCCTTCACACAACTTCCACCCACAAACATGAAGAGCTTGAACAGCGCAGATCAGAGCCCTGCAACGTTTTCACAGCCGTCCTGCTGGAGCCAGTCACCGGTGGGAGGCGTTGTGACTGACTGGAGAGCAAAAAATAAGACTTGATCATTCAAAAAGGACAACAGTGTCATAAAATAAGGATACTTCACAAACAGAAACAAACCAGAACAAATGTTTTATGACTAAAGCCCCAGGCGTCAGTTTGATGCGACTTTAAATGAAAATGTGGGATTTTTGTGAATTGTGGGCGTTTGAAACACATTTTTACGAAGATGCCTTTCACTGTTGATCAGTAATAAAAAATGATTAAACAAATCCTCACCGGCCACACTTCCTCACTTTGCTGTTTTACAAACAGTTTGAGCAGAAAAGCCACTCTTTCAAGTATACCTGAGACTCCCCTCAGGCGTGGTTGATGAGGCTGAAGGGCCACAGGTAGCAGAGCGGTGACCTGACCTCCACGTTTTCAGAAATCACACCTGCTTTATTACATAAGTCTCCTACATGAGGAATCCTTCAGCTCGGCGACACATCCGTGTTAGCGTGACTCCCAACTGGAAGCACAGGAAACGATGTAAAATGATAAAAATGCAAACGAGTGGACACAAACTTGTCTTTTTCCATCAACAGCCTCAAAACTCACTTTAGGAGAAAATCTAGAGCGTATTTTTTAGTCCTTTTGTGAGGAGATGCTCGATGACAAAGCCCCTCACCAGATGTTTATCAGGACTGAGAGAGACTCCAGCTCGGTGCTTTACACCTGCAGGCTCTGGTCTCCTTCTGTGGCTTTGCTGCTCCGAAACTAGATCAGAAGGATCTGAGTTTGTAAAAGAAAAGTGTCATTACTCAGTGAAGGGATTAAGTCTACTAATGGGCCATTCCCATCTGTACCGGGTCGGCCCGGGCCGGGTAGCCCCAGTCGGCCCCAGCCTGGCCCGGTTGATTCCACACATCCTTGTCTTAAGCCCATGTGGGCTGATTCTACCCACCAATCAGAGGCTTGCTCTAATGGAAGGTGTGAATTTGCTGCCAGCAGTGGGTGTGTTGGCCCTGGTCGGCCTGAAGCAGACCCCCTCGAGAAGAGGGCTGAGAATGAGCCTTGGCTGGCCCGGAAAAATACCAGGCCACCCAGATATGTAAACAACCTACGCTACCCGGCCCGGGCCGACCCGGTACAGATGGGAATGGCCCATAAATACATCTGTTCAGGCCAGTTTCCTTCTGCCAGGAGAGTGATTGCGCAATCGTTCGTTTTCATGTAGCCGACTCGGAAAACGGAGTTTTAATAGACATCCTGCTGCTGTCCGCAGCCCAGAGGGCTTCACTTTGTGTTTGATCATTTAATGAATCCCTTTCTGGTTTTCTAACCCCTCCAGTTTTCTTCTAAAACAGCTGAATGTGGATTCTTCAGGCGTTTGTGATGTTTTACTACTCAAACAAAGTGTTGGATTGGAGACGATTCTCTAAAGAAATGGCTGAATGCATAATCCTGTTTAATTTAATGCTAACTGACAGCTCGTACCTTTGGGTTTTAGGCAGCGTGTCACAGCTTCAAGGTGTCGTGTCAGCGTGAAACCTGCATTTGAACGTCAGACTTTCTCTTATTAATAAAACACGATCATTCACTCAGATGCTTCTGTCTTCCTGTTGGAGGATCCAGACGTTTAGCCTTCAACAGCGTGGGAGAAATTTAAAACCTCGGGAGAATCAGTCTGTCCCTGCTGAGAGCCCAGCTCCACTTTGGTGTGACATGATGATGTTCTGAGATTAGAGTTGTTATTAGAGAAGTTAAAGGAAGAGCAGTGTGTTGGAAGGTTTGGTATTTAAAGACAATACAGCAGCGGGCTCCCTCTAGACCTGGAGGGGAACAGATGCACTTGTTTTGCCCTTGACATAAAATGAAGTTTATGTTTATGTTTATTTATTTGGCAGACGCTTTTACCCAAAGCGACTTACAATTTATAACCTATAGGGCATGTTGTGATCTGTGGGGGAAACCGGAGAACCCGGAGGAAACCCACGCACGCATGGGAAGAACACGCAACTCCACGCAGAAAGGCCGCAGCCGAGATTCGAACCTGCAACCTTCGTGCTGCGAGGCAACAGTGCTAACCACTGAGCCACCGTGCAGCCCAGTTGTTCCTAAGAAGGATTTTGTCCCTCTCGTGTTTCCGTAGGGACTCTGTGACAGCCGTTCCTAATGAAACTTCCTGTTTTTAAAGTGTTAAAATATCTGGGGTGACAGGGCACAGGAGTTAAGTGCTCACCCCATAATCAGAAGGTTGCAGGTTCGAGTCCCGCTCAGTCTGTTCCTGCTGTTGTGTCCTTGGGCACGGCACTTACCCCTCCTTGCCTTCTGGTGGTGTTCGCAGGGACCGGTGGTACCTGTGCACGGCAGCCTCATCTCTGCCGGTGTGTCCCAGGGCAGCTGTAGCTACAGTGTAGCTCATCACCACCAGCGTGTGAATGTGTTATAAAGCACCTCAGGGGGGTTCTAGGACTCTAGAAGGTGCTGTATCAAATACAGGCTTTTACCATTTGAGATGAAGTCTAATCAGTGAGAGAAGAAAGTAGAACATATAAAAACATGTTTGTGGGTCTGAAAGACAGATGAGTGTTTTAGGTGTGAAGTGACCTTCACACGGTCATGTCTCTAGTAATAATTCACTTATTATTACTGATATGGATCCGGTTTGGTGGCCTGAGGATCGGGTCTCTGCATTCTGTTGATGATGTGGTCCTGTTGGCTTCATCAGAACGTGATCTCCAGCTCTCGCTGGAGCGGTTCGCAGCCGAGTGTGAAGCAGCTGGGATGAGAATCAGCTCCTCTAAATCTGAGACCGTGGTCTTGATTCGGAAAAGGGTAGAAGGCCTTCTCCGGGTCAGGGATGAGGTCCTGCCCCAAGTGGAGGAGTTTAAGTATCTCGGGGTCTTGTTCACAAGTGAGGGAAAACTGGAGTGAGAGATCGATAGGCGGATTGGTGCTGCGTCTGCAGTGATGTGGGCGTTGTACCGGTCTGTCGTGGTGAAGAGAGAGCTGAGTCAGAAGGCGAAGCTCTCGATTTACCGGTCGATCTACGTTCCTACCCTCACCTATGGTCATGAGCTTTGGGTAGTGACCGAAAGAACGAGATTGCGGATACAAGCGGCCGAAATGAGTTTTCTCCGCAGAGTGGCTGTGCTCTCCCTTAGAGATAGGGTGAGAAGCTCGGTCATTCGGGAGGGGCTCGGAGTAGACCCGCTGCTCCTCCACATCGAGAGGAGCCAGTTGAGGTGGCTCGGGCATCTGGTCAGGATGCCTCCTGAACGCCTCCCTGGTGAGGTTTTCTGGGGATGTCCAACCGGGAGGAGACCTAAAGGTAGACCCAGGACACGGTGGAGGGACTACGTCTCTCACCTGGCCAGGGAACGCCTTGGGATTCCCCCGGAGGAGCTGGCCCAAGTGGCTGGGGAGAGGGAAGTCTGGGTCTCTCTGCCTCTAAGCAGCTGAAAATGGAAGGATGGTGACCTTCACACCTAAAAGCCAGACATCACATAAACATGGATGTGTTTTCCTAGCTTTCACAATGTTTGTCTCAGTGTGGCAGCGAGTCACTGATTCCTCTTGTCTCTACTGTCTCCAGTCTATGATTCAGTCCAGGAAAGCCGGACTCGCACACTCTCTGGCCACACGAACCTCCCTGAAGGACCAAGAGCTTGTAAGTTGCATAATGGCTAAAATATTTCTTCTTTCTACTATAAATATGAAGTTTTTCACTCTTTTATTTCCACTTCACACCTGCCGTCACGTTCCGCTGCTGCTTTGCCCAACATCTGTCCACCCTCTCTTTCTGAGCCAGCCTTATGGATCCTAGGGCTGCAAAGTTTGCCTTCATGTTTTTATAGTTTCCTTTGTGCTGAGCGTGCTTTAATCTGCCGCTTATGATGATGATGATTACATTATGCATTGAAACAAACATTAATTATTCAAACATAAAGTAGGTCACTGACTGTCGCAGACGAGAGCTTGTCTACAGCTGATAGAAAAGTTCAAATCAGAGTTTAATTCAAGCAAAAGTTATTGTTTCACTTTGGAAAAGCAGCAGCTGTCACACACACACACACACACACACACACACACACACACAGAGGCAAATGACCCGGTTTCTTCTCCTTCGGCCACAGAAGGCCCACGTTTACAAGAAGACCTTGCAGGCTCTCATCTACCCCATCTCCTGCACCACGCCACACCACTTTGAGGTGTGGACCGCCACCACGCCCACCTATTGTTACGAGTGTGAGGGTCTGCTCTGGGGCATTGCTCGGCAGGGTATGCGCTGCACAGAGTGTGGGGTCAAAGTTCACGAGAAGTGCCAAGAGCTGCTGAACGCCGACTGCCTGCAGAGTGAGTAAAATGAGACCAGAAACTTTTTGTCCAAGTTTTAATGAGAAGTTTTGGATTTGAATGTTTTTTTAGTCTGAATGAACAAAATTTTTATTTGATTGTCTTTTTACATCATGACCGGTTTGATTAGTACATAATTTTGTTAAAAGCTGGACGCCCTCTCAATGTAACTAACAGACTCACAATACTATAAATTATATTGTTGAATTAAATTAAATTAAATTATAATAGAAAACAAGGTTCTTAAATAGTTTTACTGCTATTGTATACTGCTGTTTCATTGTAATCAAACATTAAATAAACTATTCGCTAATTAAATTAGAGGCGATAGAGGAATTGAACCAATGTCAACAGTGACCTTGTTAGTGACCTCTAGGGCCCTTTAGGTGCCACTGTTCCTGAGTAAAACTCACAAGGCTGAAGAACCTCTTGGATGGGAGGAGGAACATCTGCAAGATAACCACACAAAAAAAAAACGCATGATTTTACATCTAAGCCAACACAAGTTAGTGGGTCTGAACTAGACTCATGGATTTATCTCCAGGAGCAGCAGAGAAGAGCTCCAAGACCGGGGCAGAGGACCGGACCCAGCACATCATCATGGCCATGAAGGACAGGATGAAGATCCGAGAGAGGAACAAACCGGAGATCTTTGAGGAAATCAGGAAAGTGTTCGGCATCTCCAAGGTGGTCCACGCTCAGCACATGAAGAGCATTAAGCAGAGCGTTCTGGATGGGACCTCCAAGTGGTCGGCCAAGATCACCATCACCGGTAGGTTTCTGATGGAAACGCCTCTTCTGCATGTGTATGTGTAAAATAACCACTAGTCTAGTAATGCTACACATCTCTAGTATTAATATTAATTAATTTGTTTGTTTGTTTGTTTATTTATTTATATATTTATTTCTTAATCTATTTATTTATCTCAATTAAGTTATTTAATTGTCTGTTTATTTATGTATATATAATTTATCTATTAATTGATTAATTTATTTATCCATTTATTTATTTATTCATCTATTTATTTATCTATTAATCTATTTATTTATTTATTTATTTTTTAATTTGTCTATTTATTCATCTATTTATCTATTTATGTAATTATCAATTTATTTATCTATTTATTATTTATTAAGTACACTGGGGCATAATGGGAGGATGATGAGCTGCAGGTGTGAGGGGAGAGAACCAGTTAATTGCTATTTCTGGACTGTTTTAACTATTTAATGTGGTCCTTTTAGATTGTTGGCTGTGCAGCTCACCTGCTGACTTTAACTACGCGACATGAAACAAAATGGTTTGTTATGATAAATAAACATTCACAAACACATTTGGTGATGCTCACAGATGAACTTTCTAAAGCCGCTGTTGTATATCTAAGGTTATGATGCACCAGTGGTTCATAAATGAATAACTAAACATTTTTAAAGATCATCAACACATTTGATTCATTTTGAAAATGTCATTTAAATATTGATGAGGTGTAAAAAAAATCCTGACAAGTCTAAACTGTTAAACAGGTTATTTACTTGTGTTTTACTTTCTTCTGAAACAAGAGGAACTCTGCAACTCGTTTGTAAACCATCCGTTTGTCAAAGAAAGTGAATGTATGAAGGTTTGGAACCTTTTTGGGAAACCCCTCATCTGAGCCTTTCAGCCATAGAAGATCTACCCGGAAACATCTGACAGATGAACGGGCCCATCCCATCATGTGTTAGAGCTCTATCTGATGGTCAGACACCAGAACTGGTCAGCATCTACAAGTTCGTCACTGTAAAGCTCCTGGTGTAGGTGTCCCACCTCCAGAACATCCGGTCTGAGCAGCAAGAAGCAAATTTTAACTGTCTCCTTCAGACTTCCCTTATTTAAACACACCATCTTCCTCCTCCCGCTCCGAGTATCGAGACAGCTGCTGTTACCGAAGCACCCAGACAAATCACGCTGTAGCAGCTGTGTCACCATGGTAACCATCACACACTACCTTTCCACTAAGCTACGATGAGCCCCGTTAAAACGAGACGTGTGCAGCACATTTCCAGAAACATCCGTAGATCAAGCTAAAGAAGTCGGTTTGGATTCGATCTGAACATTCTGTTGGAGCTCTTATCTTCAGATTTATTCAACAGTGTGTTAGAAATTATACAAATTAAATCAGATTTTATTTTTCATTTGGTCTCATAATTATAGTTTATTGTCAAATTAAAGCTGCTCTGGCATGTGGAGCGTCTCGTTGAGGTAAACATCGCTGCATCTGGCTCTGACTCATCACAAATGTGTTACGAGGCTTTTCTTCACTGGGGTAGGTGTTTGTTGCTCTTATGCAAGTCTGATAGTCATCCTCTGCTGTTTTCAGTGGTTAGTGCTCAGGGTCTCCAGGCCAAAGACCGGACGGGCTCCAGCGATCCCTACGTCACCATCCAAGTGGGAAAGGCCAAGAAAAGAACCAAAACCATTTATGGCAACCTGAGCCCCGTCTGGGAGGAAAAGTTCAGCTTGTGAGTTTTCTGTCAGCTCCATGTGAGCAAGCACACACACACACACGCCTCTGAGCTGCGTGGGTGTGACAAGAATCCTTATTTCAGGTGAAACTAAGTGAGAAACACTACAAATATCCTGTTTCCCCCAGCGAGAGTAGCCATCTACGGCGCTCATCTAATGTACAGTCACAGGTGGGAGGGAGAGCTTGGGAGAAGCGAAGAGCACATTGACTCCTACAGATTGACGACCTCGCCAGGCTGAAATTCACCAATCTGAAGGCGGGGGGGGGGGGGGGGGGGTGTTTCAGTTTTTCACAGCATCTGTCTGCATTCCTTCGTGGGGGGTTGTTGCTTGCAGCTCAAGGCTACCAGGGCATCAGATTCAGATAACGAGAATTTGTTTGGGTCAGGCTGAGATAATTTTCCTCTCTGCCTTCAGTCTTTAAACTGATTATTCCAGTCCTTCAGTGAAGCCAATTTTGGGTTTTAAACATGTCCATGCCGTCCGGTGACTCTCTCTGAGATGACATCCATTTTGCGCACTAGTACCGGTATCGCAGCTAGAACATTGTCCAGTTCACGATTCACCTTGAGTAGCGTCCCAGTCTGAGAAGTCTCCACACGGTCGGTGCTTTCTGTGGGTGCGGGTCGCCCTCCAATCGCTCCTGTCTTCCCAAATTTCCAGAAAACCAGATATCCTCCCACTCCAATCAGGAGAAATCCAGTGATCATCAGGCCGAATATCCACACGTTTTCGATATCCTCAATGGACAGCTGGCTGAGGCATATGATCTTCTACTCCTTCCAGGAATCCAGCATATATCCCACCGGGTGCGTCCCCTGTGGACATGTGGGAGCCCCCTGCTCCGTTCTCATTGTTGAAAAAATCTTATCAATCGTGTTGAATGACCAGTTCATCAAATCCATGGTTAAAAATAGGGTTTTTCAGAAGAAATGCAGTGAAGCGCTCTGTGGGCAGACAGGACAAAGATCCTTGGGAAAAAAAGATAAGGGAGCAAAAAGAGAAGCGTCTGTACTCCGCGAGTGCCTTGAAGAACTGATGGTAGAAGAACTAGAAGAACTAATGGGTGTGACCCCGCCAGGAAAGTTGACCATTAAGCAGGATTGATGGTTCATCCCTTGGGTCCATGTGGCAGGGGTGAGGTGGTGCTCACTCCTCACCCCTGCCACGTGGACCCATCAATCCTGCTCAAAGGTCAACTTTCCTGGTGGGGTCGCACCCATTAGGAGAGTGGGTTAAAGGTTGAACAGAAAAATGCAAACAGTCTAAAAACATCCAGTGAAACACAGTTTATAAGATATTTTAGGAGCTGCAACACAAACTCCTCCAGTATTTAACCCAAGCCCGCCTCTGTTTCCAAAGACGCTGAAATCAAAAACAATATTTAATCATTTCCTGCCTTTGCAGCAAGTGCCACAACTCCTCAGACCGCATCAAACTCCGAGTCTGGGACGAGGATGACGACATCAAGTCCAGAGTGAAGCAGCGCCTGAAGAGAGAATCCGACGACTTCCTGGGTCAGACCATCATCGAGGTCCGGACCCTGAGTGGAGAGATGGACGTTTGGTATAACCTCGGTACGAACTCGCCTTCATTCTATAGGATCCAAGAAAACATAGATGTGTAACATTAAACCCTGTGGACTAAAAGTGAAAACGCTCTAAATGTCGAAATGGTCTCCACATAAAAGCTGAGAAGGTGTATAAAAAATCAAACATTTAAGAAAGATAAGAGAAAAGAAAAGAAGGGAGCCTGAAGGAGACACAACTGACAGAGACAGCAGCCTGAAGAGAAGCTAGTGAGGAAGAAGACGATGAGTTTAAAGGAGACCACTGAGTCCACTGACCTCAGGCTCAGGGGGAGAGAGGTCCAGAGTCTGGGGGCCACAGCAGCAGATGATCTGTCACCTTTGACCTTTAGCCTGGTGCTGCACAACCAGTAGGCTTTGATCACTGGACCTCAGGGACCTGCTGGGGGTGTAGGGACTAAGAAGATCACCAATGTAAGATGGTGCTTGTCCATGTAAGGCCCTATAGACCAGAACCAGGATCTTGAAATGAACCCTGAAGTTGACTGGCAGCCAGTGAAGCTGGAGGAGAAGCGGGGTGATGTGGGTGTGTTTGGAGGACTTGGTCAGAAGCCGAGCACAGGCGTTCTGAACCACCTGTGGACGGTTCAGGGAGGTTCTGCTCAGACACGTGAAAAGAGAGTTACAGTAGTCTAAGCGTGAGGAGATGAAGGTGTGGAGAACTGTCTCAAGTTCAGAGCGGGACAGAATGGGACTCAGCTTAGCAACGTTCCTGAGATGGAAGAAGGAAGAGCGAACAAGAGAACTGACATGAGAATCCAGGGTGAGAGCTGGGTCAAAGGTCACACCAAGATTCCTGACAGAGGGTTTGGTGTGAGAAGCAAGCTGACCAAGAGAGTCTCTGACTTTGGGAACCAGCTTGTCTGGGGCACAGATGAGGATCTCAGTCTTATCTT